GAGATCATGACCTGAGCCGAACCACCCACCGACTGAGCCACCCAGGCGCCCCTAAAAAATAATTTTAATGTTTATTTATTTACTTATTTAGAGAGCCAGATGTGGGGCTCAGCCTCATGAGTCAGGAGACTGTGACCTGAGCCGAAATCAAGAGTCGGATGCTTAACCAAATGAGCCACCCGGGCACCCCCCATCCTAATCATTTTTCAAGTTACAGTTCAGTGGTATTAAATGCCTTCATAATGTGCAATCGCCACCATCTATCTCTGTCATTCTTGTCCTCTTGTGAAACTGACGCTCCATCCATATCCATTCAGTAGGATTCCTCATTCTCCCTCTGCCCAACTATCATTCCACTTTCTGTCTGTGACTTTGCCTACTAAAGTGCCTTATAAGTGCAGTCACACAGCATTTGCCTTTTTAGAGCCAGCTTATTCCTGTAAGTGTATTTCGTATATGCCTGTTAAGTCTAGGTGGTTTATTGTCTTATGTGATGCCTCCATTTCCTTATTTATCCCCGTCTGCCTGGTTGCCCGATCCGTTGTTATGAATGGGAGTACTGAAGTCTCTAATTATTATCACAGAGCCGTCTGTTTCTCCCTGCAAGTCTGTCAGGTTTTGCTTCATATATTTTGATGGTGTATCATTAGGTGGGTGAATGTTTATTGTATCTTGCTATATTTTGTTAATATGTAACGTCCTTCCTTGTCTCTTGGAATTGTTTTCAAGTCTATTTGGTGTGATATCAGTATAGCCATTCCTGATCTTTTGTTACCATTTGTATGGAGTATCTTTTTCCATTTTTTTCACTTTCTTTTTAGTTTTTATTTTTTCAAGTTTATTTATTTTGAGAGAGAATCCCAAGTGGGCTCTAATGCTCCGTTGTTGGGGCACCTGGGTGGTTCAGTCGGTTAAGGGTCCGCCTTCAGCTCAGGTCATGCATGATCTTGAGGTTCATGAGTTTGAGCCCTGCATCGGGCTGTGTGCGGACAGCTTGGAGCCTGGAGTCTGCTTTGGATTTTGGGTCTCCCTCTCTCTCTGCCCTTCCCCACTCACACTCTTGTCTTTCTCAAAAATAAACATTAAAAAAATTAAGTAAAAATAAATGAAAACTTCCAACCAGGCTCCAATGCTCTGTGCTGAGCCCAACTCAGGGCTCAGTCTTATGAACCATGAGATCACAACCTAAGCTGAAAGCAAGATTGGATGCTTAACCAACTGAGCCCCCCAGGGCTCCCCATTTTTTCACTTTCAATGCTTGTGTCTTTGATGCAAAGTGAGCCTCTTATAGATGGCAAACATTTGGATCTTGTGTCTTTATCTTTTGGCCAATCTCTATCTTTTGATTGGAGAGTTTAATCCATTTACATTTAAAGTAACTACTGGGGCACCTGGCTGGCTCAGTCAGTAGAGTGTGACTCTTGATCTTGGGGTTGTAAGTTTGAGCCCCATGTTGGGTGTAGAGATTACTTAAAAAGTAAAGCCCTTACTGATAAGGAGGGGCTTACTTCTGTCGTTGCACTACTTTCTAGGTGCCTTACAGCTTTTTTTTTTGTCCCTCATTTCCTGTATTACAGTCTTCTTTTGTGCTTAGTTGAGTTTTATAGTGAAATGTTTAAATTCTTTTATTTCCTTTTGTGCATATTCTATGGCTATCTTCTTTGGGGTTACTGTGCGGATTGCATTTAACATCCTAAAGTTGTAACACTCTAAATTTACACTTGCTTAACTTCAACGACGTATGAAAACTCGGCTCTTTAATAGCTCCAACCCCGCCCTTTTGATTGCTGATGTCACAAAAATTACATCTTTATACACTGTGTGCCCAGAAACACAAACTCATAATTCTTTTTAAATGCATTACTCTCTTAAAACCTGTAGAAAAGAAGGCATGGAGTTACAAACCAAAGTTACAAAAGGCTGTCCTTTCCCTACTGAATGGCCCTGACACCCTTGCTGAATATAAGCAAAAGGAGAGGGTTTGTTACCACTGCCCTGCAGGAAACGTTCAGATGAGTTCTATAAGCTGAAATGAAAACGTATTGGACGGTGACTTGAAGCCATACAGAGAAATAAAGACCTCAACAAAAGGAAATGTATGGGTATTGATAAAAGCTGGCTTTGTTGTAACAATGTTGGAGGTCAGGAAAAAGTTTTGTAAATAGAAGTGGTGATGGTTGCCCAACACTGTGAATTCAACTTATTGCACTGAATTGTAGCTAAAAATTGTTAAGATGATGCATTTTATGTTATGTATATTTTACCACAAACACTTTAAAGGTGAGAATTTCCCTCCACATGACGTAGCCATGCCCCTCACAAGAATTTACCCCCAAGATAAAAGGAATATATGAGAATACAAGAACTCGTACGCCAATGTTCACAGCAGCTTTATTCATATCTGAATGCAGAAAACAAGTCAAATGTCAATCAGCCGGTGAATCAAGAAACAAATTGTGGTACCCCATGTAATGGAACAGTACTCAGAATTAAAAATGAATGAATTGGGGCACCTGACTGGCTCAGTTGGTAGAACACGTGACTCTGGATCTCACGGTTATGAGCCAGAGCCCCATTTTGGTGTAGCAATTACTTAAAAAAAAAAAAAAGAAAATGAAAATGAAATGAATTATGGGTACATGTAATCTCCAAATTCATCATGCTTAGTCAAAGAAGCCAGCCATACAAGAATCCATATTTTATGACTGTACATTTATAAAATTCTAGAAAGTGCAAACTATAGCTGACTCTTGAATAAAAAGATTTGAACTGCACGGGCCCACTTCTATGTGGGTTTTTTTCAATAAACAACAAAAGTACAGTAAATGTGTTTTCCTTTTTATTATTTTTAATCTTTTAAAAAAGTTTATTCATTTTTGACAGAGAGAGAGAGAGAGAGAGAGAGAGAGAGAGCGCGCGAGCACGAGCAGGGGAGGGGCAGAGAGGGAGAGAGAGAGAATCCCAAGCTGACTCCACATGCCCAGCACAGAGCCTGATGCAGGGCTCGAACTCACTAAACGAGATCATGACCTGAGCCAAAATCAAGAGTCAGACACTCAAATGACTCACTCAGCCACCCAGGCGCCCCTGTAAATGCATTTTCCTAATGATTTTCTTGACTGTTTCTTTTCCCTGGCTTACTTCACTGGAAGAATTCAGTATATATAGTGCATACAACATACAGTGTATGCTAATTGACTGTGTTGTCACAGTAAGGTTTCTAGTCAAGTGTAGGTTATTACTACATAAGTTTTTTGGGGGAGTCTGAAGTTACACTCAGACTTTAGACTGCATGGGGGCTGGGCACCCCAACCCCTCCACTGTTCAAAGATCAACTGTATCGCACAGTGTGGGGAAACAGCAACTTCCTAGCACCGGCGGTGGAAAAAGGGATTGACCACAAAGGACAAGAAGATGCTTTTAGGGGGATGGAACCGTGCTGCACCTCAACTGTCGTGGTGCTCGCACAAGTGACTAGTTTTCAAAATTTATCAGACTGTACAGTTTAAATGAATGCAGTTTATTATACATAAATTTACCCCGATATCGATGACTCAGCCGTTGACATTTCTGCATCATGAAGCTAAGCACATGCAGTCACACTGTTCTTCTCACGTCATCTTACGACTGCTAGCTTCCTACCAGTGCTATTTCTTTTTTTTTTTTTTTTTTTTTACCATTATTATTTTTAATGAGAGTAAATGGTTTAGAAAACAAAACAGGACAGGGTGCCTGGGTGGCTCAGTTGGGTTGAGCATCCTACTCTTGATTTCGGCTCAGGTTACGATCTCATGGTTTTGAGATCGAGCCCCACGTCAGGCAAAGCATGGAGTGCGGAGCTGCTTGGGATTCTCTCTCTTTCTCTCTCTTTGTGCCTCCCCTGCTTGTGTGCTCACACACGGGTGCATGCTCTTGCTCTCTTCCAAAATAAATAAATAAACTTTAAAAATCAAAAAAAGTAGGACATTCATTTAAAAATTATTGCTTACTAAAAAAAATATTGTTTAATCTTTATCACACTATTTACATAGTATCTTCGTATGTTTCATAAAGTACATAGGAGGACAGTCATGTGTGTAAATAATTCATGTGTTTTTTCATGCTCACAAATTTTACCCATATGGATATATAATCAAAGTAATTTGGAGATGATTGCCCTAAAACTTTGGAAGATTCTGTTCTCAGAAAACTGATAGACGAACTTATCTATAAGCAAAGGGTTGAATTCATTCAAGCAGAGAGTACACACACTTATGTGATATGGGAAGACTCAAGATTGTTAAACGTCATTTGTTCGTGATTTTATCTCAATTAGGTCATGAATTTAATCTAGTTCCAACAAAAGTCCCAGGGGGATCTTTCATGCAATTGACAAGATGATTTTATAATTTTTTTTTTCAACGTTTATTTATTTTTGGGACAGAGAGAGACAGAGCATGAACGGGGGAGGGGCAGAGAGAGAGGGAGACACAGAATCGGAAACAGGCTCCAGGCTCTGAGCCATCAGCCCAGAGCCCGACGCGGGGCTCGAACTCCCGGACCGCGAGATCGTGACCTGGCTGAAGTCGGACGCTCAACCGACTGCGCCACCCAGGCGCCCCGACAAGATGATTTTAAAATTTATGGCAGTATTATGAGTAGCAAAGGCAATTTTGTAAAAGAACAAAGAGGACTTGATTGAATAAAACTCAAAGCATAGTGTAAAGCTGTAGCCGTGGAACCCTTGTATGTTAGTTCAAGAAAAGATCAGAAGGAACAGACTCCAAAAACTGACCCATGTATATAGAAATGCATCATGTTATAAATGACATTTTGTTTATTTGTTTGTTTAAAGTAGGATTCATGCCTGGGCACCCGGATGGCTCAGTCGGTTAAGTGTCGGACTTGGGCTCAGGTCATGATCTCACGGTTCATGGGTTCAAGCCCCACATCGGGCTCTGTGCTGACAGCTCAGAGCCTGGAGCCTGTTTCAGATTCTGTGTCTCCCTCTCTCTCTGCCCCTCCCCCACTCACACTCTGTCTCTCTCTCTGTAAAATAATTAAACGTTAAAAAAATTTTTTTTAAAGTAGGATTCATGCCCCTGAGATCAAGACCTGAGCTGAGGTCAACAGTCAGACATTACTGACGGAGTCACCCAGGGGCCCCTATAAATAAATGACATTTTAAATCTTTAAAGTCTGTTAGAGCCAGTTAATTATTTGGGGACAATCATATATCAGATAAAATATTAATAAATATACAATCATACCATTCACAAAAGTTAACTCCATATCTAAATATAAAAAATAAAAGTGCAGTACTAGATTAGGTGTTTTACAAATATTATACAACATAATTATATTATATTATATAATCGGTAGTCTAAGCAAGCAATAAAAAGAAAAGCTCTAGTGGATAAGATTAGTGCTGACTACATGAAAATAAAATTTTGTAGAAAGGACACCACAAATTAAGCAAAAAGACGGGAGAAAATATTGCAACTCAAAACAAAAGGTTTCATGCAGATTATATCAAGTACTCCCAAAAATTAATACGAGACAATTCAACAGAAATGTGCCCAAGGATACGAATGGCCAAACAATTCTTGGCACAGGAAACATGCCAGTAACCACAAGATATTCGACCTTCCTAGAGATTATAGAAATGGGAAAAAAAAAAAAAATCAATGAGAGCTATGCTTTAGGTATCGGACAAACATTTTAAAAAGTTTCTATCAGGTGCTGGGTATACAGAAAAAATGAATCAACTCATACTACTGAAGCACAACTTTTGGAGAACAAATTGAAAATAGCTATCAAAAATTAAAAAAAATTTTTTTTTCAACGTTTATTTATTTT